AGAGATCTCAGTTTTGCCCATTTGAAAAGCCTCTCCATGGCTAAATTTGATTAAAAGCTCTGCCAATCTCAACATTGGTTTCGATTTCCAGCTAAACCCAATCAGTTGAAGGTGCTAACGTGCAATTTCAACACAAATACATCCAATCCAACCTGAGTCACAGACAACAATCCAAGCAAAAATCAAAGCCTAATGTTCTGATGTCCTTCCGGACATGGCAGTTCTCCTTTGTTTAAATTGTGGAAGTTTCTCTTTGAAACAATTTAATTTATTTTCAATAATTCATTTTAGCTAGGCTTACTAGTTTTACTGTGGGAAATTATAAAGTCCTCACCCGTCTAAGGCTAGAAAAGAACTTACTTGGGAGATATTCCGCACCCAAAATTCACAATCACTTGATCAAAGTCAATAGCTTGGGGTGCAAGTTATTAAATTTTTATAAGCCTATTAGGATTTTTAGCTGCTAACAGTGGCCCACTTGCACACAAAAGAAAGTTGACTTGTTGACCATTACCAATGGTTTTGAAGCCAATGGGGAATTTTACCCTACCACCACAAGAACTACGTCAAAATGGGTAAACAATAACCTTCCACACCACAATCCCTCGTGCAACCCCAGTGAACCACATGTCTTGGGTTTATGTGAGCTTGGTAGGTGATTGACATATCAAAAATGTATTATTGGCTTGGCATGACATGCACACTATTTCATATTTATTTAATGAATCACTTCTCAAAATACAGATTGGATTAACGCATGACCAACATTATATGTTATATTGGGCTTTAAATGTCTTTGGGCTTCTCGTGACTTTTTTGGGCCTCAACACTCACATAATAAAATGATTCTATCATTTAGGGATTTTTATTAAAGTCCAGTGAAAACATGAACTAATATTCCATAAATGGCAAAATCACAATAAATGCATCCATTTTATACTAACAATTACATAACATGTGCATCATATAACAATTTTTATATTATAAATAAAAATATAGCGTATTTTTTTCATTACAATTTGTTCGAATTGAATCCTTTTGTTAAAATTAATTGTGATATTCTTGATATTGATTTGAGGAGATTTGGTTTTAATTAAGAGAATATTTTAGTAATATTCTAATTATTCCTCCTTTAAATAAGGTGTCCTTCATGCGCTTCCTAGTTATAATAGGAAGTATATCTTATTGATTGTCCATTGGTTTATTAAAATATTGATTGTATCCTATTTATTAAAAGATGCTGATTTGGTTTTCTTTGTGGTGAGAAAACATCTTTAAAAGAGAGCCTTGTGCCTCTTCTTCTGCACCTCTTCTTCAGCACCTCTTTTCAACATCAGTTTTTGTGTGCTTAAACATTTTGAGAAAGCTATGTTTTTATTTGAGATAAATTAGCAATTGTTTCATGTTTACTTGGTGATTTATCAAACACTTTTTTCATTCATATTGCATTCATTTGCATTGATCGGTGGCTCATACGGTTAAGGGCACCAAGACCGTGGCGGCAGTTTTTCTCTTGTGAGTTTGAATTGATTGCAACTAGTATTGGATTCAACATAAGGAGAGTTGGAAAAACTCCGACGAGCTTGAAGCAATTGTAACCAATATTGCATTCAACAGAAGGACTGTTGAAAGATCACTCCGCGAGAGGTTGAGTTACAAAGAAGTCAGTATACATTGTCTAGATTGTGTTTAGGATAAGTGTGTAAATACTTCTTTCAATCTTCGTTCTATAGTGGATTTATTTTGGACTAAGTAGTTTCATGGATTTTCCCTAAGATGTGAAACTTTACCACGTAAAATAAATCAAAACTCTTGAAAATTGTGAAGTCAAATCCAAGATTTTTGCCCAATCTTGTTTTCATAGAAAAGGAAAGACTAGTCTAATTTACCATCAAGACCGTCATTTGCAACTGGGTCACTGAACTTTGGTGTACTAATGACTTATGTGCATTGATAAATTTCAACAGAACAATCTACACCCATGAAAAATCTTTTCTCTCTCTCTCTCTCTCTCTCTCTCTCTCCCCCAACCCACCCCAACTTCTCCAGAAAGCTCTTCCTTCTTCTCCTCAAATTTAAACCCATTTTACAACAACATTAGGAAATACAAATCGTGAAGAAACTTGGAAAAGAAGAATATTGGTAAAGTACTGTGTTAGGTTGATTTCCAAATTACCACATTTGAAACAAGATTAATTTTTGCAGATAATTCCTCATGATTGATCATCAGTTTCTGGGTAAACTGATAAACCCATAAACAAGATTAATTTTTGGAACAAAATGATAAAGTTCAAACAAACATAAACTTGAAAAAGAACAGAGCCCAAAAAGGCCGATACTTCACCAATAACAAACGATGCAAATACATCCCCAAATGTATTGTTCTAGCTATCAGAACGCAAAAACCGCAGATAATTCCTCAAATTTAAACTCATTTTGCATATCCTAATATTGTTCTAGCTTCGACGAGATCTGAAGAATGACGACGAGCTCGCGAGGTCTTGAGAACATTCCCCATGACGTGTTGCGAAAACCCAACCACCTAGGTTTTGTAGATCGAAGATTTCTAGGTCCAAGGGAGTGGACGGTGTTGCGCACTGCAGACCGGGGACAATTGATCTGAGAGAGGCAACAACAAAAGCAGGATAGCCTACGAGCGATAACGACTCTACCGTTGTCGGGTGAAGTTGTGGATGATGGGTTCGCTACGACGGAGCCTCGTGAATTGAGCGGCACAGACAGAGTCACAATTTGAGCCTGGGGAAGTTCCTTCGTGTTCTTGCATTCTTTCATAGAGAGAGAGAGAGAGAGAGAGAGAGAGAGAGAGAATGATTTTTCTTTTTCTTTTGATTTTAAATGAAAATTAATTATTTAATATAATTTTACTTGTTTTGTATAATAGTTTATTAGTTTTTTGTCCACATGGAACTCCACGTCAATTAAAAAATGGGTCCCACAAATGACATATAGGCAGATAACGAATTTTCTGACGATGTCGCTATGAACTCATAAATGACCCTATAGGTTGGGGGATTTACTGTAGCTAACCCTTTAATTAAATTCAAAAATAAAAAACTAATAATTGAAGGGGGTAAACCCCAACAGTGAAGCTCCTCTCCTTCTCCGTCAACAACCCCACCATGTCGGTGCAACCCATCCCTTTCTTGCCGTCAAAAAAGCATCTTCTCTCTCTTCTCCCCCTTTGTTTTGGATCCAGATCTATCTTCTTCCTTTGCTCTTTTGGCTTATTCTTTGAAGGAGAGAGGTAGATCGAGGACAGTGGTATGAAAAAGGAGATAGAGAAAAGAGAAAAGGAGGCTTTGTCAAAGGCGAGAAGGAGAGCAAGTTGCCGTCGGCCGGGTTAGGTGGTTGGGAGTATTGGTGGACGGCTAGTTTGGGGTTGCTGAGGGTTGAGGGTGGGTGGGAGTTCGTTGCTGGGTTTTGTTTGTGGCAATAAGATGCATGGATATACAGAATTGGAGCCTCATACAAAGAATAAACTTTGTAAAATAGCCAAGCAAGTAGAAAATCAAGCATAATCAAGCTTGTAGTTAGCTTGTCTTTTCAGCTTCCTTTTTCCAATGGCTAATTTCTTTGCAGTTGCAAATCTAAGACACCTATACTTTTCACCGCTTACTGTGATTTCAAGATCTCAGAGGCATCTCCAATCTCAGAAAAACTTGAATCCGATTTCTAAACCTTAACGCGCCCACTGAGTCAAATAACGTGGTTGATGCCTTTGTCTCAGGGCTTAGAACGTTCTGGCGGGGCGGTGATTGGCTAAGGAGATGTGTCAAAAAGTTAACATATAGTTAGTTTTTGGACAAACTACAATAAACCCCCCAACGAATAGGGTCATTTACGAGTTCATACCCGATTTTGGGGACATTTATGAGTACATACTCAACGTCGCGGAAAACCTACAATTTGCCCCCTCTGTTAGCGAGATGGTTAGAAAATCCATTATCTGCCTATGTGTCATTTATGGAACCCATTTTTTAATTGACGTGGAGTTCCACGTGGACAAAAAACTAATAAACTATCATACAAAACAAGTAAAATTATATTAAATAATTAATTTTCATTTAAAATCAAAAGAAAAAGAAAAATCATTCTCTCTCTCTCTCCCTCTCTCTCTCTGAAATAATGCAAGAACACGAAAGAACTTCCCCAGGCTCAACTTGCGACTCTGTCTGCGCTGCTCAACTCACGAGGCTCCATCGTAGCGAACCCATCATCCACAACTTCATTCGGCAACGGTAGAGTCGCTATCGCTCGTAGGCTATCCCGCTTATGTTGCTGCCTTTCTCAAATCAATTGTCCCCAGTCTGCAGCGCGCGACACCGTCCACTCTCTTGGACCTAGAAATCTTCAATCTGCAAACCCAAGTGGTTGGGTCTTCGCAACACGCCATGGGAAATGTTCTCAAGACCTCGTGAGCTCGTCGTTCTTAAGATCTCGCCAGAGCTAGAACAATATTAGGATGTGCAAAATGAGTTTAAATTTGAGGAATTATCTGCGTTTTTTGCGTTCTGATAGCCAGATCAATACATTTGGGGAAGTATTTGCATCGTTTGTTATTTTATTGGTGAAGTATCTGTCTTTTTGGGCTCTGTTCTTTTTCAAGTTTATGTTTGTTTGAACTTTATCATTTTGTTCCAAAAATTAATCTTGTTTCTGGGTATATCAGTTTACCCAGAAACTGTTAATTAATCATGAGGAATTATTTGCAAAAATTAGTCTTGTTTCAAATGTGGTAATTTGGAAATCAACCTATCATAGTACTTTACCAATAATATTCTTTTCCAAGTTTCTTCACGATTTGTATTTCCTAATGTTGTTGTAAAATGGGTTTAAATTTGAGGAGAAGAAGGATGAGTTTTCTGGAGAAGTTGGGGTGGGTTGGGAGAGAGAGAGAGAGGATTTTTCATGGGTGTAGATTGTTCTGTGGAAATTTATCAATGCACAGAAGTCATTAGTACACCAAAGTTCAGTGACCAGCTGCAAATGACGGTCTTGATGGTAAATTAGACTAGTCTTTCCTTTTCTGTGAAAACAAGATTGGGCAAAAATCTTGGATTTGACTTCAAGATTTTCAAGAGTTTTGATTTATTTATGATAATTTATTTATGATACATTTCAGGCCGGTCCATGGTAGGATTTTCACTTACCTCTCCCGATTTGGTGATCTGTTCTGGGTCACCCGATATACCCCAAACCAGCTATGGAGATTCCCCTGAGTTCTTGGATGGTAAATTCCATCAGAAGATGGATTCTTCTATTGAGCTCTCTTTCGAGAACAGAATCAACGAGTCTCAAGTTACAGATACCCATAAAACTCCGACTGTAAAGTTCTCAAACACACTGTGCCAAACTTTTAAAGAAGATTTGTCTCCTGAAGCTTCATTCGAGCTTCTTCCGCCTTCTGCCATTGAGGACAAGTTGAAGGAAGGTTCCCTTCCTGATATAAGCAACAATGGAGGTTGCACAGATGATTTCCTGGGTGGCGATTCTCAAATGGAAAACTTGGGTTTGGAGGTGGGCGACGGAAGGGGGATGGCTTAGAGGTGGGGTTGAGTCAGGTGGGAGAGAGGGTTGGCTGTGTAGGAGGAGAGAGGAGATTTTGTTTTTGTTTTTTTTTTTCATTTTTTAATGATTTTAATATGATTTAAAATTTATTTTTAACATATATATGATTTATTTTTAAATTTATTTGTCCACCTGTAAGTCCACCTCATTCGCCATGTCAGCATTTAACAAATTAACTAACGGTTTGGCTAACAAAGGGGGGAAATTGTAGGTTTTCCGCGACGTTGAGTATGTACTCCTAAATGTCCCCAAAATCGGGTATGAACTCGTAAATGACCCTATAGGTTAAGGGGTTTTATGTAGTTTACCCTTAGTTTTTTTTAACATTGTTGGGTTTTCTTCCTTCAATTATTAGGGCACGTTTTCAGAGAATGTTTTCTTTGAATATTTTTAGAGAATGAAAACAAGAAAACGAATTTGCATTTTCAGGAAATGAAAATGTGTCTAGTAGATTAATTAGAAAACATCTTTAGAAAACAAAAACAATGAAAACATATATGGTAGTACCATTTAAAATAATAATATTTGAGTTATTTTTATGAAAACGTTTTCCATGAGAATGAAAACAACTTTTTTCTGTTTACTACAAGTACACATAAACTTGTTTTCATTTTATGAAAACATTCTCAGTGTTTTCTGTTTTTGGGTCATTGAATGTGTTTTTACCTCATTTTTGTTCTCTGAAAATGAAAACAACCTCTTAAAACGTTACCAAATGGGGCCTTATTTTTTTTAAATTAGAAGTTAACATTGTTAACTTGTGGTTAAGTGGAAGGACATGTGTCAAAAAGTTAGATAAGTCATGTGGGCATAGGAAAAATAGTAACAGGGAAATTGAACTCAAATTTATTATATATTCTTTTCCCGTTTATTTTTATTACACTTTGAATTGCACCTCAACTCAATGCGTCTAGGTTTACGTCTCGCCTATGCTTTGACGATGGAAAACACTGCTTTCACCCTATCAGAGCGTGCAAGTGGACATTAATAACTGAAAGGTTGGTTCAAGGGGTATGCATCCGTGATTCATAAATAGAATTGAATGAGGACTATATCCCACCAATATCCTACAAAATAGAAAGATTATAAGGAAAGCATTGGAACTAGCTGCTAAAGTAATCATCAGCACAAAGAACCCCACTAGTGTAGTGGTTTGGAGCAATTGCTCCTTAAGGAAAGGTCTTGTGTTCAAGTCTTAACATCCGTGTATAGTGTGTGAGTTTAGTATATTATTGCCACTATCAATATAAAAGGTCCAAAAGAAAACAAAAAACAAAGTAATTCATCCGTGCTTTTGCTTCCTACCAAAAGCTGGTCATTCTATCCCAAAACATTTTTCATTCAGCCCTTAGAGAGAGAGAGAGAGAGAGAGAGATCCCGGAAATTTGAAATCTCCAGCCCTTAGCGTTTCACACTGAGCAATAAGAGAGACAATTATATTACATTAACAATACAGATTTCCATTCCATAAAAGGTGCAACTCCATGTGACTAAAAAAAAAAAGACATAATATACTGACTACGGATAAATTACCTCCACTGACAACTTGTCAATGTGGATCATACATTCAAATGAACGGGTTAAGGAACAAACATCTTTATTTTCTTCATGCTCCGGTTGCCACCACAACCTACACGTCCCTCTAATTTGTTTTTATTTCACCTGCAGTTCTTGTCTCTTGGCTTTGGTTCTTCATTGCTGAAACTACTGGATCTGCTCCAAAGTTTTCTTTCGCTTCTCCATTCTCCAGTTCATGCTTGCTATCTAAGTTAGCGTTATCGCATTGAATGAGATCTGCGCCATCATGTTTTTGTTTGGCTTCTCCATTCTCCAGTTCATGCTTACTGTCTAACTTAGCGTTATCGCATTGAATGAGATCTGTGCCGTTATGTTTTTCGTTGGCATCTCCGTTCTCCAGTTCATGCTTACCATCTGAAATAGTACCATTGCATTGGATGATAGCTGTAGTCCAACCACGTAACTGCTCGGTGGCTGCTTCATCTGTTTATGAACTCCAAAAACTAGTTAAGACCATGTGTGCATACATGCATGTGCATAATTTTTGCATACATGTGTGCTTGTGTATGTATGGCTCAGAGTGAGGGAGAGTAAATTAGACCAACCTAGCCTTGGGACCATATGCCCCTGTGGGTGCCTGATGATGAGCGGGTTGTCAAATTCGGCAGCAAGATCCTCGGAAGGTAGTTTCAACCAATCTTTAGCTCCTATGAAGTGGACAGATTTGGCCTTGATAGTGTCTTTGTATGCAATGTCACATATTTTTGGATCTCTGAATTTTGCTCCTGATATAGATATAAAAAACTTGAAAGGTGGATGCTCCTTCAATGAGCTTGGTAGCCCAACAAGAGTCCTGATAGTGTTGCACCCTGAGTAAATATTTGAGAATCTGAATTAGTAGTCTGTGAAACCATTAACATAGGCTAATGTGTAGTGCTCTGCTAATGCAAACATCAATTTTTGATATTTTTAATGGTGTTTATTGTTCCAACATGTTCCCTAAATTTTGATGCCAAACAAAGGCAAAACACCTCAAATGTCGCCAAAACATAACCAAGATTCCCTTCTAAATTCCAGTAAGGAAATTCTCTTATAATTTTCAAACGGCTGGTTTTTGCAGCTACAGAGGCAGTCATTACTTTGCGTCATATGGTTCATAACTTATTTCCCATGATTTATGAGATCCAATAGATTTCTAGTCAGGGTTGGATTGGAAGATAAAGATATCTCTTTAGGACAACAAAGCATGCTTTCACAGCAAAGGGTGAAATAAACTATCGAAGTCCAAGTATTTTTATAGCACTTGACAAGAGTTTCAAGCAATTTGAAAACCTAATTTCTTCCAAAATAAAAAATAAAAAATATACCCTGAAGGGTGAGATCATAAAAGTCTTACAGAACATGGAGGTATACCTGAGAAAAACCAAGCAAACCATCAAAAGGACCCTTGCTTGTTATGTAGTCACATAAATAAGTGATGCATTCTTCCAAGTTTGTGTACTCTGTGAAGTCCTGATCCACAACATAATAAATAAGAGATCCATTAATTATACTCAATATCAGTAAAAGCATAAGATATATCCAGAAACTTGGTAATGAAAGGATTTAATTTTGATGGACAGAAAGAACAACTAAAAGCATGAGGAGCAAGCAATATGAAAGTTAGAGTACCAAGTTATGAGGACCAGATTGGCTTCAATATCAAAATAATTTTACCTTGTCAAACTGAAACCACTCGTAGTAAGGTGGTGGGAAGATGCCTTCTATATCGGATTTTCCTCCGGCAGGAAATATACCATCTGGAAAATCCTGTTAAAATCCCAGAAGTGATTTGATTATATTGTCAAATATCTACTAAATTACCACGAAAAAGAAAAATAATGTTGGAAACAGGTAAAGGGGGAGATTGGCTATTTCTATATCGTTCGTATCTTTAGTTTTCCGAAAAAATAATTTGGGCGGTTAAGTCTCAATTGGGTGACAGTTCAGGGGGCAAATTGACAGTTTACTCAATAAAAAACCATTGATATTTAGAAAATGATAGGAAAATCATGTTCAGAAAAATACTATTGTATATCCCAATAATACAGAAAAAAAATTCCATGCACAATTTCTATGATTGATTAGTCGTGGTGAGATAAAAACAGTAAACATGCAGGTAGTAAACTTTGTCGCTTTTTTTTAAATATTTTTTATTCATAAACAAAACAAATTATAAAATTATAAACAAAGAACTCCACAATATGATCATTAATCACCAGATGATATTTTATTAAAGCAAGGCATGAGCTATATAATTATGTTATAATTTATGCGTACATACCAAGTCAAACTCTGAGAAGATAGAAGCATCCCATTTGCTAATTTGCTTTTGCAGAAAGCTCCCACTGGTTCTAAATCCATGGAGGCAAAGTATCTTCATCTTCTTCTCCTTGTGCTGTTGGCTTTCCATTGATCTCCTGCTCTCTTCTCTCACCCAGCTTATCCGACCACAACAACTATCAATAAGCTAACTTTAACTTAAAACGGAGCAAGAATGCAGTAGCTAGCTGCACGTTTGGGTTCTACCTACCTCAGAACTTAAAGACCCCAACTACTACTCTCACTTGTTCATGTAGTTGCTGTTCCACGTGCACTCTGCCAAAACTTTTTTTTTAATAATTTTTTTTCATACAAGCGATATTGGGGGAGGAGAGGGAAATAGAACTTAAGAAATCGGGTGCAAAGGTAAATACTCTAAACCACTTGAACTACAAGCTCCTTCTGCTAAAACATTTTGTAGTTGCCAATTGTCTAGTTTTCTTCTTTTTTTCTGTTAGATTTGCACAAATTTATTTATATCATGAGTTTTATATTAAAATAAAGTAAATATATGCTGCATTTCTCTGTTTTGATCTTGTTTCCATTTTCTTCTCATGCTATATTGAAATGCAGGTATATGGAAATTAATGTTAATGAGCAATAACAAAGATGAAGATAAAGGGAAACTGGTAAATTTAATCCATCAATTTTTTGCCCAATTCCAGTATTTCTTACACCACACATTCCCCCAACCCCCCTCATATTTTGGCCCTTCACTTTTCAACCCCACCTCTCATTCTCTCATTCAAACGAGTCACAAACTGCACAACAGCAAATTCAATCATTTTTCCCTGTTTTCATAATCTCTTCAAACTTTTCTTCCTTGCATCTATTTTCTTCTTGTCTGCCTGTGCTTTTGCCAATCCACCTTCCTTCCTTAGCGTTGTAGTAGTTGCTGCTGCTGATGCAGCACAGCCACTAACTCCAGTCTCCACTGGAGCAACAACAGCTGGTTGATCCTGACCATTTCCTCTCGTCACTGTAATAGGGGCCAGTGGGGACGGGGATGCAGAGATCACTGGCATAGCAGCACCAGGGGCTGTGATCTTTTGATCAGCATTAAGTGCAGAGCTGTTAGTTTGGTCAACGTTCAGTGCAGTAGTCGACTCTGAAATAGCTCCTGTTTTAAACTTGGGTTTTGACTTGGCATGAATTCCAGTATAAAGTCTGCATGTAAAAGCACACTTTAGTTTCATAGTCATGTGTAATGGTAATGTATCCAATAGTCATATCATTTAGTCTACATGGGGGATCATTCAAGTTGGTATGGGCATCTTTCATTTTCCAATCATCTGAATGTTGTGCATTCAAATTACACAAATCTACTCTTTGACAAAGTCTACATATACAACCACACAAAAGTTTACATATATAAACTTTCCCTGCTCCATTAACCAGAACATGAAGCACATAACATGATGACCATGACTCACCTGGCATGTTTTGCATATTCTTCATAATTTTCAAGCAGCATCTTGCCCGCCTGTTCATTCAATGCTGATTCTGGAAATGGTTCGATCAATAAACATCTAACTACCTGTTATTGCAAAGCACAAAGCCGTGACAATTAGACTTGACCAGGAAAAAGAACATCTCAGCTGGATAAGTGGAAATGAAAGGAAGTCAATAATTGAAGAACAAAAGGGAACTTACAATCAGAATATGTCGTAATCCAAGACTTGGATTCCAATCTTTTTTCAAGGTGTTGACACAAATCTCACCGTTAGTTGCAATGTTTGGATGGAAAATCTTAGTCAGGAAGTAGCCTACAACAATCATGTCCCAGAAATTTCAAATTAAACAAAGTAATAGCTTCAACCAGATAGGGACTCAAATTAAGCATGGACATAAATATCGACTAATCCGAGTTATATACAAGCGTCGCATCAACAAAACTTCTCTTCAGTTGTATCAAGCACACCAGTTTTTATTTACAGAATGAAGCCACATAAATACGACATGTTCATTTAAAAAATATAGTGGTATCAGTTATGTCATTGATGACAAAACATAGCAAAACAAACCTTTAGGAGGAGAGTGTGGAAAGTCACGAGACAATAACAACTTCATGCGGAAAACACCATTCTCGTAAGGAGTGCCAGCTGCAAGGCCAAGATCTTAGCTCATCAATCATACTAAAATATAGATGCAGGAGTGAAAGACATTACATACAGTTTGCCACTCGAAAAAAAAAACTATGTACATGCCTGGGCCTTCAATATCCGCATATATGATCGAAAAATCATCATCATTAACACCAACTTTAATGCCTTCAGGAGGGGATTCATCAAGATTCTTCAATTCCTTCGCAAGTTGCTTAATTACGTTTGGTGGGAGATTTTCATTAGTAGCCTGAAATTGAAACACGACCAAAGGAATTCTAAGAAGAGTTAAAAAGAAAATAAGAAGAATAAATCATCAGTTGCAAATAAAAACAATGCATCACTTGCTCAGATAGCAATCCTTATTAATCAAAGAAGAAAGATGGACTCCACATACAGCTGACAGCTACTCTAGAATTTACCCTTACTGTTGTTGATAGGCGAGGAGGTGGAGTTCATATATTTTTTAAACACAACTCCTAAAGCCATTGAATAAACCAAACAAACAACGTGTGCACAACCACCATATCATGGCTGATGTTTCAATATAAAGAGGATTATATCTCATACACCAGGGATAAAATTTCATTGTGCACACGTATTGATGTCCAACTGTCATGTACTCTTAGAAGTAGAATGAAAACAACATCAAATTATATTTAGATGAGAAAAAGCATGGCACTTAAACATCCACCCGTCTTTGCAAATTAGTCCAGCGACAATGTATGGAACATTAGTCCACATGATCACCATATTCTATTTTATAATCAATAATATCCAACAATGTAAAATAAAAAATAGTTTTTTATGAAGAAAGAAATAACATTACCATAAGAATAAACAAATGAAGTCCCAAAGCAAACTTTTGCTACCAAAAGAAAATCAGCAAATCAGCCAAATATGTGCCACAAAACTTTCAACTCCACGGATTAGAGTGACAGAATAAGGCAAGCTGTAAGCCGAAATGTCTGTAATAAAAAATTAACATTTAATATTAAAAATCAGGAAAATAGAAGTCAGATCAGTCATATCATATACTTCTCACAATGAAAAATAGCACATAGAACCAAGAAGCACAAACCCATCCTTATTCAAAAGTTAAACCAAGTATTACATCAGCATATTCAAATTCAATAAACAAACAATAATTTCCAAAAGATCATAAATAAAAAATGAAATCGAAACAGCTGGTAAGTAGGTAGGTAGGTAGATATCAATATAAGTTTGAGAGGAAGTACATGATTGACACTCATGTACAAGGTACGTTGATTCCGTGAACACATCCATGCATAAATTGTTTGGCCCATGCAAGAGCTCTGGATACCAAGAATCAATCAATCAAACAATAGAGATAGTCATTTAAAGAAGTCATTTAAAAAAAACTGAATTTCATTGTGTCAGCTAATAAGACGGCAACAATATGGGAAAAGTAGAGGGGCTGGATTTGGACTAGTTAGAACTTCTCTGGATTTGGATGAGAAAAAAGAAGGTTTGAATTACCTCTCAAAAGCATTGTGAAACTAAATTCCCAAATCCTTATAACTAAAACTAATCAATCCAATCCTGTATCTGTCCCTTAAAATAACAACTAAGACTAGCTAAACTGTTATCTCAAATCATTGAAAAATACAAATCGAGTATGATTTCAGTGTAGACATGCACCAATCGTCTTCTAACCTATATTTTCTACCTTCTCACTTTCTCACTTACTCGTTTGGCACACTAGCACAGACCAGTTAGTTTCCTGATAAAAGGTTAGTAAAGTTGATTTGAGCATGAACAGCACAAATTTCTCCTACTGTTATGACTTTCTAAGGGCTGCCTGAGTGTTAGATAGGGGATCAATGGACCATGAATAAGCCTGTTTTTCTCCATCAGCTATCTTCAAGAAAAACATGAATAAAAAAAAGTTCTAAAGCTAATTGAAGATAGACACGAAGTCAAAGGAAAATCTCCAACACCAACATATTTTAACTTTCGAAACTCCTAAAAGACAAGTGATGAATCATTACACCCTGAGTCCACTTAGACCTAAAGACATTAACAAGAACCAGTTAACTCACTTTAAATTAATACCCATACGAATACCATTAAAGTCAACAAAAACCAAATGCCTTATCTTTCCTGGGAGAAAGGGAGAAGAGAAAGCACTATCTTTCAAGTAAAACATCCATAAAACAACCCATTTGCCTAGAAAGCAAGAAAAGCATCTTAACTGAGAAAAACCCGAAACAGATCAAACAAGAAAAGTGAACTACAAAAACCCTTATGCCCAAAAATCCCATGTTTTCCCATTTCAAAAAGACCCAAATAAAGATGCAACACAGACAGATATGTACTAGTTCTTAAGAAAGAAAATCAAAATCAGAGAGGTGAATAATCGAACCCAGAACAAAGAACAGGAATCCAAGAAACATCAAATTGACCAAACTTACGGTATTCACAGTCCAAAAAGACAGATTGATAATGAAAATCGAAACCAAAGAAAGGAAATTTACCCTAAATAAATCAAACCCAGATGTGAACTCGCCTTATATCATGAAAAAAAGCTCAGTCTAATGTTGTAGATTGAGGGTATGATTGAGGGCTTTGAGGGTTGCGATGCAAAGAACAGAGAGAGAGAGAGAGAGAGAGAGAGAGAGAGAGAGACTGTGCGTGCTCAAGAGAAAGCGATTTCTCCTTGGAATGATTGATTGGTTGAATTTGAGGAGCGAGAAATATTTTTATTTTATTATTATTATTAACATAATTCAAATTTTACTGACTTACTTTTAAAGAAAAGAAAAAAGATTATTATAAAAAATTCATATAAATCCAGGCAACGTTTAAAAATATGGAAATAAAAAAAGTACCGTTTGAGACAAGGTGTCGCTGTGCATGGTCTCCTTCATCTTCACGGCTTTGAATTGTCAGTGGTAGTGCCCCAGACGCGCTCTTCTCTCATTCTCACTTTGCGCCGCCCATTTTTAATTTTTCTCACCAACGTCACCCATTTTCTTAGTCTATGGTAAATTACCTAACTAGTTTGTGTGAGAAATTTCTTCTCTTTTAGTTTAAATTATCATTTTTATTCAAATAAAATAAATTATAAATAATTTAGGGCTTTTTTTAAATACAAATTTATAAATAAACCCAATCTTAGACATGTATTTATAAAAAAACTCAAACACTATTTAAACATAGAAACACACCCAAAATCAACCCCAAAGTCAACTTTTTGGGTGTGTTTATAAATGGGTTTTGAGTGTGTGTAATGATGGGTTTTGGGTGTGTTTATATGTTTAAATAGTGCTTGGGTTTTTTTATAATTTCAACCCCCATTTTGGGTGTTTTAGTGAAACTCCCTTTTTTAAAAGAATAATTAAGGGTTTTTTTTTTGTGTGTCAATAATTAAGGGCTTGTTTGTTTTTTTTGGTTAATAATTAAGGGCTTGTTTAGGAGTGCTTTTAAGGACTAAAAATGTTTTTTGATAACCAAAAGCGATTTTGATAGCATTTGAAAGGAAAAAAAAATTATTAGTGTTTCCGATCACGAAAGCATTTCTTTAAGAATCACTTTTAAGTGCTTTCTGTTTTCAATACATTTTTTAACGTTCTTCTAATAAAAGCACTTTAAAAAAAACTTATGTTGTGCATAAGTATTCCCAAACAAACTTATGCTCATTCCAGGCTTGAAAAGTTAACGTAAGTTTGTAGTTTTGCCAATGATAAGAAGCCA